GTGCCAGTAAGCTGTCCATGGTGTGCCAGTAAGCTGTCCAGGGTATGCCAGTAAGCTGTCCAGGGTGTGCCAGTAAGATGTCCAGGGTGTGCCAGTAAGCTGTCCAGCGTGTGCCAGTAAGCTGTCCAGGGTGTGCCAGTAAGCTGTCCAGCGTGTGCCAGTAAGCTGTCCAGCGTGTGCCAGTAAGCTGTCCAGGGTATGCCAGTAAGCTATCCAGGGTATGCCAGTAAGCTGTCCAGGGTGTGCCAGTAAGCTGTCCAGGGTGTGCCAGTAAGCTGTCCAGGGTGAGGGAGTAAGTTGTCCAGGGAGTGCCATTAAGCTGTCCAGGGTGTGCCAGTAAGCTGTCCAGGGTGTGCCAGTATGCTGTCCAGCGTGTGCCAGTAAGCTGTCCAGCGTGTGCCAGTAAGCTGTCCAGGGTGTGCCAGTAAGCTGTCCAGGGTGTGCCAGTAAGCTGTCCAGGGTGTGCCAGTAAGCTGTCCAGGGTGTGGGAGTAAATTGTCCAGGGTGTGCCAGTAAGCTGTCCAGGGTGTGCCAGTAAGCTGTCCAGCGTGTGCCAGTAAGCTGTCCAGGGTGTGCCAGTAAGCTGTCCAGGGTGTGCCAATAAGCTGTTCAGGGTGTGCCAGTAAGCTGTCCAGGGTGTGTCAGTAAGTTGTCCAGGGTGTGCCAGTAAGCTGTCCAGCGTGTGCCAGTAAGCTGTCCAGGGTGTGCCAGTAAGCTGTCCAGGGTGTGCCAGTAAGCTGTCTAGGGTGTGCCAGTAAGCTGTCCAGCATGTGCCAGTAAGCTGTCCAGCGTGTGCCAGTAAGCTGTCCAGGGTGTGCCAGTACGCTGTCCAGGGTGTGCTAGTAAGCTGTCCAGGGTGTGCCAGTAAGCTGTCCAGGGTGTGGGAGTAAGTTGTCCAGGGTGTGCCAGTAAGCTGTCCAGGGTGTGCCAGTAAGCTGTCCAGGGTGTGCCAGTAAGCTGTCCAGGGTGTGCCAGAAAGCTGTCCAGGGTTTGGGAGTAAGTTGTTCAGGGTGTGCCAGTAAGCTGTCCAGGGTGTGCCAGTAAGCTGTCCAGCGTGTACCAGTAAGCTGTCCAGGGTGTGCCAGTAAGCTGTCCAGGGTGTGCCAATAAGCTGTCCAGTGTGTGCCAGTAAGCTGTCCAGGGTGTGCCAGTAAGTTGTCCAGGGTGTGCTAGTAAGCTGTCCAGGGTGTGCCAGTAAGCTGTCCAGGGTGTGCCAATAAGCTGCCCAGGGTGTGCCAGTAAGCTGTCTAGGGTGTGCCAGTAAGCTGTCCAGGGTGTGCCAGTAAGCTGTCTAGGGTGTGCCAGTAAGCTGTCCAGGGTGTGCTAATAAGCTGTCCTGGGTGTGCCAGTAAGCTGTCCAGGGTGTGCCAGTAAGCTGTCCAGCGTGTGCCAGTAAGCTGTCCAGCGTGTGCCAGTAAGCTGTCCAGGGTGTGCCAGTAAGCTGTCCAGGGTGTGCCAGCAAGCTGTCCAGGGTGTGCCATTAAGCTGTCCAGCGTGTGCCAGTAAGCTGTCCAGGGTGTGCCAGTAAGCTGTCCAGGATGTGCCAATAAGCTGTCTAGGTTGTGCCAGTAAGCTGACCAGGGTGTGCCAGTAAGCTGTCCAGGGTGTGCCAGTAAGCTGTCCAGGGTGTGCCAATAAGCTGTGCAGGGTGTGCCAGTAAGCTGTGTAGGGTGTGCCAGTAAGCTGTCCAGGGTTTGCCAGTAAGCTGTCCAGGGTGTGCCAGTAAGCTGTCCAGCGTGTGTCAGTAAGCTGTCCAGCGTGTGCCAGTAAGCTGTCCAGGGTGTGCCAGTAAGCTGTCCAGGGTGTGCCAGTAAGCTGTCCAGGGTGTGCCAGTAACCTGTCCAGCGTGTGCCAGTAAGCTGTCCAGGGTGTGCCAGTAAGCTGTCCAGGGTGTGCCAGTAAACTGTCCAGCGTGTGCCAGTAAGCTGTCCAGGGTGTGCCAGTAAGCTGTCCAGGGTGTGCCAGTAAGCTGTCCAGAGTGTGCCAGTAAGCTGTGTAGGGTGTGCCAGTAAGCTGTCCAGCGTGTGCCAGTAAGCTGTCCAGGGTGTGCCAGTAAGCTGTCCAGGGTGTGCCAGTAAGCTGTCCAGGGTGTGCCAGTAAGCTTTCCAGGGTGTGCCAGTAAGCTGTCCAGGGTGTGCCAGTAAGCTGTCCAGCGTGTGCCAGTAAGCTGTCCAGGGTGTGCCAGTAAGCTGTCCAGGGTGTGCCAGTAAGCTGTCCAGGGTGTGCCAGTAAGCTGTCCAGGGTGTGCCAGTAAGCTGTCCAGGGTGTGCCAGTAAGCTGTCCAGGGTGTGCCAGTAAGCTGTCCAGGGTGTGCCAGTATGCTGTGTAGGGTGTGCCAGTAAGCTGTCCAGCGTGTGCCAGTAAGCTGTCCAGGGTGTGCCAGTAAGCTGTCCAGGGGGTGCCAGTAAGCTGTCCAGGGTGTGCCAGTAAGCTGTCCAGGGTGTGCCAGTAAGCTGTCCAGGGTGTCCAGGGTGTGCCAATAAGCTGTCCAGGGTGTGCCAGTAAGCTGTCCAGGGTGTCCAGGGTGTGCCAATAAGCTGTCCAGGGTGAGCCAATAAGCTGTCCAGGGTGTGCCAGTAAGCTGCCTAACATATACTAATACACAAACAGTTTATCACAGTCTCTGGTAATAACATTACCAGATCTTATTTCTCCATTTTTCGAGAAATTTGCACGAAGAATTATCAACTTGATTTTGTATACGTTGAGCCTTGTATATTTTCATTTATAATTTTTGGCTCTCTTTGTACACTCAAATTTGAGAGTCAAGTTTGTATATTATTATTATTATAATTATTTTAAGAGATAAGCCTAAAGGGGGTGACAGAGCTCTATAGGGAGGGATGTGTGTGAGGTAGGAATGTGGGAAGGGTAGGAGTGTGTGAGTGTGTGAGTGAGTGAGTGTGTGAGTGTTGAGTGAGAGGGCTGGGGTGTGCGAGGGATTAGTGGACATAGGGGAAGGTTTAAGAGGAAAATTTACATCAACGTTGTCACGGAAAAACCTGTCGTGTGCTGCTGTGTCAGAGGCTGTCTAGCAGCCTGGTAAGACGCAGTTTACCCATACTGGAGCTCAACTCCCCCATCCCCACCACCACCACTTAACTCAAATAGACAACCACACGCACGTAATAACAGGTAGCGTCTAGTAGCTATTTTTGTGACTCTCGAGCGATTCAAGAGATGGAACTCAACCCCTTATAATCCCCAAAAAGGTATGAACAGGTAAATAACTACAGTAAGCCAGAAGAATCAAGGTTTACCAGCCTCCAACAGGAAAGATAAGGATATTTTTTTAATCATATTCCTTTGATCATTTTGTCTTCCCTCGCCCCCTCCTCTGCCTTCTCTCTTCCCCTCTCTCTTCTTATTCCTCCTCCTCCTACTCATCTTCAAGGTGTAAAGAACAAAACGGTACAAAACTGTGGAACATTACTCAAATAACCCGTAAAGCACATAGGAGAGAGAGGAGCTTACGACAACGTTTCGGTCCGACTTGGTCCCAAGTCTGACCTAAACGTCGTCGTAAGCTTCCCTCTCCTAACAAAATTCCTGGCTTCACGTCAAGAAACATTAATAACAGAAATCGAAAGGTTATACTTCAAATTTCTATATCTTTGGTTAAATCCCATTTAGATTTATGCTTTCCAGTTTTAGTTCCATATTACACGCTGGACATAAATGCACTCGAGAATGTACAGAGAAAGATAACGGGTTACATTCCATATATTGGAAACTGTTCTTACGAAACAGACCGAAGCCATTGAACTTACACTCTCTGGAAAGACGTAGAATTAGGGCAAGACTCAAGAAATCGTAATGACACGATTGCAAACAAACCATACCCCGGCCGGGATTGAACCCGCGGTCAGAGAGTCTCAAAACTCCAGCCCGTCGCGTTAGCCACTAGACCAGCTAGCCACAATAAGATTCATCCAACTAGGTATATTTCTACACCATAGGAAGGTTAGCACAGGCACCTCTGTGACCACAAATGCAAGTTTTTACAGACGAATCTCCAGCTAGCGTGGCCGTGACGAACTCTAGCTCAAGTCCCCTCACTGCCGTCAACATGACTCAAGAAATCGTAATGACACGATTGCAAATAAACCATGCATTTGTGGTCACAGTGGTGCCTGTGCTAACCTTCCTATGGTGTAGAAATATACCTAGTTGGATGAATCTTATTGTGGCTAGCTGGTCTAGTGGCTAACGCGACGGGCTGGAGTTTTGAGACTCTATGACCGCGGGTTCAATCCCGGCCGGGGGTATGGTTTAATTAGGGCAAGTATGGCTGAAATGTACAAACGGGAAACAGGAATAAATAAGGAGGACATACATAGAGTATCATGTCGAATATATCTCCAGTATGTACATGAACGGTACGCACTACCGAGAAGGTGAAAATTAGACACATGTGCAACATCTGGGTATCTTTACTGTAGACGTTTCGCCATCCAGTGGCTTAATCAATATAAATTGTATATAGCTTTACTGTCTTCCCATTATATCCTGGAATTTGTATTGATAAAGCCACTGGATGGCGAAACGTCTACAATAAAGATACCCAGATGTTGCACTTGTGTCTTATTTTCATGGTATCTGCAGTATGACCAAGACAGAACTCGCAGTAATAGTTTCATGTCGGAGAAATTTAGATTTAGAAATGATATTGGGAAGTGTTAATGTGACGATAGTTATTGAGTTGAACAAACTTCGGGGCAAGAACTTTGGATAGCTTTAAATAGATGTTGGATGGGTACATGAGTGGGTGGGAGAGAGACCTGCCTAGCATGGGCCAGTAAACCTGCTACAGTGTTCCTTCTTGTGTTCTTGTATAAATCCATATACGTGACAATATTGTGGTGCCTTAACTGGCTTGACCATAATTTATAAAACTGCTGGAATAGACATTAGGTCCCAGTATATCAAATTACAGTAACAGTTACTTGTTTTTTCGTATCATTAAGATGTCTTATCACTAACATGGTTCTCTCCCTCAGGTCGTACTTATGACAGTTGCGACGACTCCCTGGGTGCCCCAGGAAGGGGGTCAGGGGGTCGGCGGCACACCGTGCCAACAAGAAAAGGTCCCACGACCGTTCTACACTGAGTACCGGCAGACGTGATGGCGTGGGCACAGCACACACCACACCAGCCACCATGCACGCCACACGCAACGCGCCTTCCTTCGCTGACTCCACCACCACACCCTCAAACACCTGCAACATACCTCCTGATGCAGAACTGGATTCCGACGCTGGTATGCCGGCTGAGCACACGATGGCCCCACACTGCCTCAGGCAGTGTAGTCACCTGAGCCTCCAGGAGGCACAGCTGGAGTGTGCCAAGGCTCGCCTCAAGGACCCTGAAGTGGAGTGTGACCATGAATGCTGTTTGTTGGAATCTTGCAGCACCGCCAGAGAGGAGAAGACAAGAGATGGAGATTCTAGCAAGGAACCAAGCAGTATTGTGCTTAAGACTTTCAAGCCTCACAGATCATTCTCCCTCCGTCTGGCCAAAAATTCTTCCCGTGCGAAGGAACAGGACAGCAGTTTCACTAATGGGACTTCAAAAGCCCATTTTACTTGTACTAATTACCCGTGTGTTCAGCATGCATCGCGGCCGGACCCTAGACAGAAAAATAATCACCTGCAAGTTAATTCTGTTTCGAAAACTCCCACAGGGCGTACGAATCTCGATTTATGTGTGTCGTGTCAGTCGCTAGCACCGAGGAGCTCTAGTGACCACCACGACACGGACGACGAGCATCGGCAACGACACCAGTGGGACGTAGGCAGGTCAGAGCCTTCCTTACAGTCCGGGTGTTCTGACACTCACTCTGACTACGAGGACCTCATCGTCACTACTGCCTGCTAGCCTCGCCCACTCGTGCTCTCTCTCTCATATATATATATATATATATATATATATATATATATATATATATATATATATAATATATATATATATATATATATATATAATATATATAATATCGAAGAAAGGAGTAGCTTTTCTCTAATGTCAAAAAAAAAAGTCTTTAAAAAATATCCAGGATATAATACGAGGAACTACGAACCTGTAAACTGTTGCGCATTTTTTCCGTGTTTATGAGATTAATATTAAATACCCGAGGTATTTTGGCATGGGTATTTTCTACGATAAAATCGATATTAACCAAAACATTGATCGTATTCAGTTTTTAATGTGAACACAGAGGTGCGAGCAAGTGACCCAGCCCAGCGCCTCTGTAATGTGCTCTAACATCTTTGTGATAAATTATTACTCACGAAATCTTAATGACACAATTGCAAACCGCGGAACGGTAAGCGTTTGAACCCCATGGACTGGCCTGGAGTTTATTTTTTTAACTCACTTGCCATGGGCACAGACCTGACCCGTTCAGTGGTTTGATTAATTATGGTTATTTAATATTGTTGGTAGAATTACCATCAATATGCTCGGTAAAAGTTACACATGTGTCCAGTTATCTAACATGGTTATTTTCGCTTTGTACAGCACAAGGAGCAATGGAGGCTCTAACCTCCGTCGACTAACGGCCAGTCGGTCTGGAAGCTCGTTGCCCACTATGGTGTGAGCAGCCTGACCTCACCAACAGTTCTGAAGACAAGCATTTTGCTCGCGACAAGGAATACAGAATGTCCAAATGAGATGAAAATCTAACCAACTAACATCCTGCAGCTGGAGTACTGGGAACCGAACCAGCGTTCTGACAGTTGCAGGTCCGTAGCCACACTGACTGGAACTCAGTGTTTGAAGTTCCATATATTCCAGTCCCTTTAAATGGGTTAATTTAGATTAATTTAGGCTAACCTAAGCTAACCTAGCTTTATCAAAAGTAACAGAATTTAACTAACCTAACTTAACCTAACCCAGAAAAAATGTCAGTGGGCGGATAGATACCGGATAGATACCGGACGCTGGTGTTATTGTTCTGATAGTAGTGAAACCCATCAGCTGTAATACAGCAATGACGACACACTGATCACGAGAACAGGCTGCTCCATGCAACACCTACTGAACCTGATTATAATAATATTTTTAACCATGCGAGTATATCCTATACCAGTGTGTATGTGTACTCACCTAGTTGTACTCACCTAGTTGAGGTTGCGGGGGTCGAGTCCGAGCTCCTGGCCCCGCCTCTTCACTGATCGCTACTGTGTGTGTGTGTGTGTGTGTGTGTGTATGTGTGTGGTACTATCATTACTCTCTAAGTAATGTGATCTTCGATGAGTAAGACATATGTGCAACACCTGGGTGTCTTTATTGTTGTAACGTTTCGCCTGCACAGTAGACTTCTACAGTCAAATACAGAGGCAGCAAGAGTAGTAGCGAAGTAAAGAGGATTTAATCAGTCCAACAAGCTTGGAGATACTGGTCTTCATGGAGAAGAAGTCTTCTCCAGGCTGAGGGACTGACCACCTTAATACTGATGCGACTTAATTATACCGCCTTTACTTCGCTACTACATAACTT